TACAGTATATTTCTAAAAAAGTAGAAAAAAAAAGTTGATTTTTTTGTATTATTAGAAAAACTTTCTGCTTGGAATAGTGTAGTTTATTTTGAGAACTGCCCCTCTAAGTCATGTTCTTTTCATCTAACTGTATAGTATTTGTTTATCAAATATTTAAACAGTCTAGATTTGGTTTATATAGTGCTTACTTTCTGAAAATAAATCCTTGAATGCTTAAGTGGGAAAAGTTCCATGAAAGACTTCCAGCCTTTAAAAACAGTGTTAAGGAGCTATCATTCTGAATGTTAAATGCTGCATTTGAGTGTGATTTTCCTGAATATACTGTATACTGAATTGCCCTTGAATATTCGAATAATCCAAATGTCATGTAATAAGCTAAATGTTACCTTCTTTGTAATGTGCAAAATAGCACGGGATTGGGCAACCTGGGTAACCTTTACACATTTACGCAGGCAACTAAACTTTTTACTTTGTCAGGCCGACCAAAGTCAGGTTTCCATCGACTTTCAAGAATTGCTTCAGCATTTAAAATAAAATAAAAAGCTTCAGCATTTATTAATTGACAGAATTAACAAAGTCCTGGATTTTCAAATAAAGTTGCAGTGGCAAAACAACAATGAAAGAGTAAAGCTCAAACTTGTTAATGAACGTGATAAAACTTAAAGTTAACTTTAAGGTTTAGTGTTGTACAGTGACTGTGCCTTTTACCAGATGTCTTCTGGTTTAGTTCAGTTTTTATGTGATTTCACCTTTTCCACTGTGCATTTTTACACTAGGCTTGCCAACAGCTATCATTCCAATAGTAAATATTTGCAAAGGTAGCCTCTTACTGTACCTCTCAGCCCTATTACATCTTCTCTGTGGTAAATTCATATGATCACAGCTCCAGATTAGTGTAGCACTGAAAGTCACAGTTCAAGCAGAAGCAAGTGAAGTGAAGAGAAAGGTCCTGGACAAAGTGCAATATCATAGTTTTTGATTTCTGAGTGTCTCTTGACTATATATTGTAAGTATTTACCATATACTGTATCTCATGCACGTCTTACCTGTGTGACTCTGTGATAAATTAATGAGCCAGTGAGGCAGAGAATAACAAAACTCCATTGGTCACTGGTGTTATAGTATTCATTCCAGATATACCCCCAGTTAAATAAATCCGCTAAAATGTGTACAAAAGAGATTTTCTACGTTATTGTCAAAACACATTTTAAAGTTCACTTTGAAAATAAGAGGAAGCAAAGTTCTCCAAGGCTCCCCTGTTTCTGTTTTCAGTATTGTTAACAATGAGAACCTGGCACAGGCTGCAGTCCTGGTGTTGAACAAGCACCTCAATGCCAACTCCACCTGTTCCAATTAAACTAAATGCAACCACATGTAACGTGAACAGCAGGGGAGGGCAGAGTAAGTACAGCAGCACAGAAGTGAGGTTCCGTCTGTTTTCACTAATACACCACAAAGCACGTGGTGCCGAGAGCACTGTGTGCAAAATAAAAAAGGAAAAGTTTGTGAACTCTATTATTAATCTATATATAATTCTATATACTTTTAACGTCTTATCCATGGTTTCATTTTAAAATTTTAATTTATGAGGAAGGCATCACTGAAGAGGAAACTTAATCACTGACAGAAGTTTGCAAAATGAGAGAACAGTAGAAGAGATTTGAAAAAAGGCCAATTAATATCGTTTGTACAAGAAATTGTTAGTAACAATGCATTTTATGCATTCAATTATTAATAGGTTTCATACTGTTATTCATGTTATTAACACTCTATTAATGATTCCATGTATTACAGGTTATAAAGAATTTATCAATTCAACTTTCCATCTCTAAACTAATATCTTTCCTCTTAGCCTTTATAAAAGGAATGCTATAGTTGTACGCAAACTTATTTTCATTTTCCGCTTGTTTTCTTAATACTGTGTCAATGCACTACATAACACTTGTAAACTATTTACTCCTGTAGAATCACATTCACTATGCCCACTTGTAGGTGCTAATTAAATGAATTCCAGAATCATTTGACAATTTAAGAAGGAAAAAACATATTTTGAATTTGTCAGAGAGCCCTTTTCTTTAGCTCGGACTCCATTTTTGCTTAGGCCAAAGTGACTTACTGTATTTTGACTGTTGAAGGGCCAAAGATGCCTGTACAGGGGAGATACACTATGTGCTCTGGTTGAGCAAGGTTTTTTGCACAAGCTGTCAGCTGCATGCATATTGGTCTGGATGTGGATGTTTAAACAATTAAACAATTAATCTTTTTTACCAAAAACTTTTTTTGTTAAATATTCCAGTGCGTAAGTATAGATAACAATAAAGCTCTCAATAAAATGAAGTTTTACACGTTTGCTTAAAATAAAGAGAAATACTGCAATACACTGCCTGTTCTACTCTCTGGGTCTGTAATGCATTGTGGACCTACTGTATAGCCTCTCGGAGAGCTGAGAGCTATAGAATGTGTCTGGTTCTATAAAAGGTCTATTAATGCAGTTATTAGAGAAGCCCTGATGCTTTTCACTAGCCTTGGTAGGCTTGGTACTGTAGGTTCACTGGAGAACTATGGTTAGCATACTGTGGGAATATTGGAAGATCGTGAAACAGTTACATTTTACCCTCATTCTGCTGGTATAGAGAGAGTATGTGAAGGAAAGGTTTTGTCCTAAATGTTTTATAGTAAGAGAAACAACCTTAAAATTCAAACCACACACATTCTAACACACAATGAGTGTTAACTGCTCAAAGCATTATGATTTAAAAGGTAAAGATGAAAAACCAATTCCACAGGCTTTGTTTGTGGTTTTGATTTCTTATCTTTTTTAACTGAACCTGTTTACAGATAACTTAGGTACTGTTTTCTTTAGCAGCTTCATTCTGAGGAACACTAACAATACCTGAGGTAAATTTGTGCACTTATGTTTTTTCTAGCCTTTTCTCTGTGTGGTGAATGTATCTTGTCCATTTTCTCTTGACAGAGAGATCATTTTGGCTAGTGTCTTTCCTGTCAAAGGGCCTGTTTCTGATTGTGCATGTCGACACGACACATCATACCCTTCTCAACCATCACACAACTTTCATTGTTTCTGTATTGGTCAGCTTCCCACACTCCCCCACTGATGACCATCCTCAGATTTCATCTCTCCCTTCACTGTGTCAGCAAACCCATTTCATGTGAACAAGTAATCGGTTTATTCCATGCTGAAAAAGGAAGAAAGAAAACACAACGTTTCAGCCGTGGAGGAAGGCTCCACAGCCGAAACGTTGTGTTTTCTTTCTTCTTTTTTCAGCATGGAATAAACCGATTACTTGTTCCTTTGCAGCCTACGCGTACTGACGCAGCTACCCACCTGAACTACTACAATCCATTTCATGTACTGTAAATCTCCATTCCCTTACCATTAATGTCTTGCTGGAATAGTGTGGATTCAGCCTGGCTCCAGCCTAAGACAGCCCTGGCATTAGAAGGTACTGCTACATTAGGAACAAAAGGAGTACTTCCAAGTATTACCAGTTTTGTTGCTAAAATACCAATTCTTAAAATGTAGAAAAATAAATAAGTTAGCCTTAAATTATGGACTGTATGACCTTTTCCTTTTACTAATGTGTTTAATATTGCTCTGTATTCTGAATTCAAAACAAAATGCTCATTTACATAAACAGTGATGCAACCTGCTCATGAAGAACCTCCATGAGAACAGTTTTACCCTCAGAAATTTACTAATATGGTCCTGCTACAGTTGTGCACTGATATGCAGTTTACTTGGTCATGGTTACTGTTCATTTGCTACTCATCTGATAGCAAGTTACAGAATAAACCAGGTCCCAGGCTGAACCCAAGCAAGCAGAGTTCCAGTGGGAGTGTCTTAAGTCGGATTCTCAATGTGGGTGAATTTAGTTTTAAAAATATCTCAATTAAGGTAAACTGCCAGATTTCGTTTTCACCACGACTTTGTTTCTAAAAAGGTTCATTAAAAATGTGCATGATCTGCAGTAGTGTTATAATTTACACTGCCTTGCAAGTTGTACTGTTGCTTATTACTTGTCACTAACTTGTTCTTTCTCATGTGTTTACTGCTTACCTCATGCTCAAGTGCTTTCCACGTATTCCCAGAGGATGCCTCTCATCATTAGTGCTGTTTTATACTCTAATCTGCGGTATGTGTGGAATTCTGTACCTGACAAAGGAGTCTTTCATTATCTGGTATTTACATTACAAATAAAAGCAGAAATTGCCAGTGCCTGTAAAAATATGAGCCTGAAGTATAAAAATCAGGTTTCCAGACCTTTGGCGTGAGATCTTAATATCTTTAATTTACAATCCTTCAAACTTGGCATTTGTTTAACTTAATGAAATGGAAGAGTGGTGATGGAAAAGCTAGACATCACTATACAGCAACCACTGATATACAGTAAGAAAAGAAAGCTCCCTAGCTGAATATCTGAAACTGAAAAGGGCAAAATGAGAGGGATTCATATATTTTGTGCAACTTGTAAGATGAAATAAGACAATGGGTTGAAGTATGGTGTACAGTAGGTGGTACAGCTTCCTGAGAATATGTCCTTTACTGGAGAAGAACATTCACAACGTATCATCAACTTATTTTTCAGAATAACTGCAATGGCATCTTGAGCTTATGCTATGCTGAGATAGCTATTGCAAAAGCAAGCATTTTGTATTCATGCTGAAATAAAGTGTTGACTGTGATGTTAAGCTGCTTGTGCAACAGCTTTCATGTTGGGGTTAAGAGAAAGTCTTGTTGATGCAGACAGTAAACAGTTCTTTGCTAGACTAATTTGTATGTAATACATACTGTACATGACTTTTCAAATAAAAAAAATAACAGTGTCTCTGTTAAAGATGTTTTTTTATTCTTGAACGTCTGTAGCCCAGCATGACACCGTTATGAACTCCTCCTGTGTTTGTGTGGTATATAAAATGCCACTCTGGACTTCATCTGGCCGAGTAGAAGCAAGAGTTTGTTATTGTATTTTGTGTTTCAGTTGAGGTCAAGCATCGACCTGGACCAGGATGGTCTCAATGATTGTCTCACCATCCAGCCTCTTCAGCCAGCCAGCTCCCCTCACGACACGGGGGATAGCAAAATGGGGAGGTCTCCAGCACCCAGCCACGACATGTACCCAGGTGAAACCCACAGTCCTCACTGCTGTGCAGTCTGGGCTTGCATGTACCTCACACTGTGCAACTAGAAGCTTAGTCTGCAGATCCCAATGTTTCTGTTCCCATCTTAGCCCAGAAAGCATTCTGCAATGTGTCACAGTACTTAAATGTATGATGTATATAAAATTTAATTTCAGATAACAATTTAACTTCTCAGTTGCCAAGATTTGTCTTCAGCTACATAACCTTTGAAGCCTGAACTCATGAGATCTCGGAGACTAAACTGCATTGGGCCGAGATGCTATCTGTACTCTATCTTGCTATCTTTGTCTACAGAAAAGCCAGCTTGCTGCTAGGAGTGGTGTTGCATGACTAGCAGGTATAATCCACACAGGTTAGCTATAAAAAGCAAAAGACTAGAAGAGGACATCTTATAAAAATATAGGAATGCAGCATGAGTATTTAAGGTTAGAGTTAGTCACATTAGAAGATGCAAGCTTGCAACTGAACATGCTTAAACAACAGTACAATAGAGACGTGTGATTCGATCCTAGATATCTGGTTATGTGAGGCAAAGCAAATCTGATAATACCAGCGTGTAATATGAGGAGATAGATCAAAGTGTCTTTAGATATCTGTATTGACAAGCTTTGAAGGCACACCAAGAGGCAGTTCACCTAGCTTAGTTTTGCTCCAAATTGAAGATTTAATGAACAACAATCTTTACTTTTTTTGCTTCTCTCTTTTGTAACAGAAAGATTGATTACATGTTAATAAGAGCTAATCAAATTAGACAGCGTCTCACTTTTTACTTTTTTAATTAAATTAAAGAAAACTGTTAGAATTCAGAGGATCAGTCAATTACAGTGATCATTTCTGTTTAAAAGTCTTTTAATACTATTTGTGTGTCCCTTAAATTACCCCGCCCCAGTAAAGGGAAAATCTGAAAAATTAGAAATGAGAAAAATGTATGAATGCCTGAAGCAATGAGAGCTTCCATGTACAGTATATAAAGTTAGTTACCTAGGATTCCTCTAGGATTTCTTCCTGCTTGTAAGAAAGCAACATGGCTTCTCACTACATTAAACCTAGGTTCTTGCTTTCTTGTCTGCTAATGCCCAGTGCCTGCTTGACTTTTGTTTTCCATCCTGTAGGCCTGTTCTCCAGCATGCAGTCCAGTCGCAGTGGAACTGCAGGGGGCACAGCACCCCCTCCTCACCCTCAAAGTCACCCCTCTCCAGGAAGCACTGTGCAGGGCAGCCCATTGCTGCCCCAGACTCAGCTACCTCCACTCCCAGTGCTACAGGATGGCACTCAGAGGTATAGCCTTTCACAGAGCCTTTATGGTGCTCTGCTGCACATTGCATTGCAAGATCAATTGGCAGATCATACAGTAGGGCTAGCCTAATGTTATATGTTCCTCCTGAATGCATATGTGACATGGGTTCAATCAATCCTGCCATTCAGGGCCTCATAGCTTCAGGATTTTGATCCACCCAGATATTATCCTTTTAATTTAATTGTGTGGTTAATTGGCTACTGTTTCACTATTCCAGACCTTCCCAGGTTTCTTTTAGGCGAGTTAAGGTAACATCCCTGTCACAATCACAGACTAAGATCCATGTCAGGTCTTGTAGTAGACCCTACACGATGCAGTAAGAGCTGGAGAAAACAGGAGGCATGGTAAAAGAAAACACACACACAAGAGAATTCTACAGGAGGCTTCTCAATAATGAGCATGGGTTGGTGTGTGAGGGAACTTTAAATGCTGAAGGAAAAGGGATGTGGTTGGATAATTGGTCTGGGAGTGAGAATTTGAGGAATCTGGTGTATGTGGGAATGTGATGGGTTCAATTAGGAATGAGATTGTGAAACAGTGGGAATGCAAGGGTGTTTGCAAGGGAGAGTGTGGGGCGTGACAATCCCAGGTTTCTTTTAGTTCCCTTTCATCAATACAGTAGAAGACCTGCAGGACTGGACACCCCTGTATTATCAAGCATACCCACAAATTACATGCAGATTGGTGTATAATTCTTACTTCCTGAAGGAAGCCCAGGAAAGTCACATCTCTGAGAAAAAAATCAGCTATAAATCATATCAAACACCAAAAACACCAAAATCCTGAAACCTGCTCCTTCAGTGTCCAAAAAGGCACATTTTACAGAAATTGCAGTGAAACTGCACACAGTGGGGAATGTCACTGTCGTGAATTTAGTGAAAATCTACAGCACTTGAGAGAAGGAATATCGGTGCAGAAACTAGATTGATCATTGCTTAGTGCTAAAGGTTTTAGTTTTACACTGTGTAAAAAAAGCCATGTTTGTTTTCTCAGCTTACATAAAATGCTAAGCTCTTCAAGAAGTCTTTTTTGGCTTCTGCACACAGGACAAACAAAGGACCCGATGCCCTATGGTACTTGTGTTTTATGTGCTCTGAATGTCAGTAATTAGAACCAACCTCATATCTGACCGTTCATTGTGGTTAAGCTTAATTCAAAGTGAGCACCTGTGGAGGAAATTAACAGCCTTGCTGAGATGCCAACCTTTTGTGACTTCCAGTATTTTACTATAATCCGGCACTTTATCCAACAGTTTCCCTGTCTTTTTAGTGAGCTGTTAGTGCCTCCCGCACACATGAAGGATGAGGTGGGCATGATTTCATATCTGTATTTGATTCTTGCGGTTATTTTCGCCTTTCTCAGCTGCTAAGTAACTTTGTAATATAGTTCATGGGTTTCATGAATCAGGATTTGATTTGACTTTGTCTTGGATTATCATTAAATCTTCATGCAAAGTTCTCTACATCTGGCTTTTATACAGAGCACAGACCCTAGATATGTTACATGGACTTGCAAATGACTTTGGGAAGACCTCAATCTCCTAGAGACTCCAAGACTCAGGTGAAAGTGTGGTTGATGGTAACTCCCTGACTTCACTGTATGCCTGGAAAGCAAGTAGCTGTGGCTATGTGCAGTATATGGCTGTCACACATGCTCAGTTGTGGTACCAGTGAACTGTGAGATTGGTTGTTGATGCCACTGATCAATACCAATAATAGTTATTAGGTCAATAATGGTTAGCTATCAACCTGCTTGTTCTGACCAGGTGGGTATACTGTACAGTATGTGAGCTCCAGGTGTCCAGGTTTCCAAGCACTTGGACAAGTGCTTGGAAATTTTCACTCTGTGTGAACTTGGTCGACTTGGAAGCCTGAGTGAAGAACCTTCTTTTTATTCATTTACTGTAAGTTATTTCCCAGATTCACACTGCAACCAAAGCCACTAGGTTCTTTTGCAGCAGGTGGGGTGTTTGCATACTTTTGGAGTGGCCATTCTATGACAGGGGCACTTAACTCCAGACATGAGTGTCTAGAATCCAGCAGGTTTTTTTCAAAGTCTTTGAGGGTTTTGTAATTTTGTAGATCTGTTTAGCTCTCAATCTGACACAGTTTACCTCAGTTCATTTTAACATGGATTGCATGACATTGCAATAATATTAATTCCTGGGGTGAATTAAATATTATTGTGCTGCATGAGTAAAATGCAATTAGAACTGAAGAACTGCAGGCTTGTTTGCATATCAATTCATCTTAAACTCAGTAATACTTCAATTAATAAAAAAGTCAACCTTGACAGTACAGTCAAAATGACTTTTGTTTCTTGTTGTGAGACTTTTTCAAGTGGTGCAATATTTTAAAAGCAGTAGGAGAGTTTGAAAGCTGAAAAGGTTCATCATATCCTTTTGCATATTCCACATTTTTATTATTCTGAGAAGGCTAGGAAATTGAAGAATGCCAGCTATATTTATTGCTGTCAGTAACCTTTCAGGTATGCAGCATTGAAAAGAGGGCATAAATGATTTGGACTTAACATTCCCAGCTTTGTAATGAATACCTTGTGAAATTGTGGGTGTTCAAATGCCTCCACATCGTTTCTCTCTGTTCCCCGCTGGGCCAGGAATGGCAAGCCCACTGGAGGGATTTTTATTTATGTAATACGATGCAACATCCCCCTCGTGCTTTAAGACATAATTGAAACGTGCTCTCTCTTATTTTCTGAATTTAATCTCATTACTTACAGTATCTGGAGGGCCTGCAAAGCTTAAATATGGCTACTGTATGTTTAAATACAATGAGGCCGACTCCATGGTAAAAGCTTTGCAGCTCCCAACCGGTGTGTCCTGTCCTGAGCGCCAGCACTGGTGGGGCTGCTGCAGTGTCATCAATACAGAGATGATGGAGCAGACAGGGTGCTCCTGGTGAGGCTTGTGGTTGGACAAGGGCATTCAGGGTGGGTGTTTGCCAATAGGAGTAGGACCTTCCTCGAAACTTTTAAACACCGCTGTTGAGCTCCAGATTGGAAGGGATGGCAGAACATCTCCATGGCAATGCGTAGAAGTCTTCTGTTGTCCCAGGCCAATGAACTATTGAATGACTTCTGCATATTTAAGCGGAATGTCAAGACAAATGTGTTGTAAGGTATCCAATTGAGAATCTGTTAATGAATGAGAGTAGGTCATTCGGCCCATCTAGCTTGTTTGTAGTTAATTAATCCGAGGATCTGATCCAGCCGTTACTTGAAAGAAGCCAGGAGATTGACTTGTTAATAACTGATGTGGATGCATTGTGCATCAGGAGTCAAAAATGTTTTTGGAAACATGTCATCTGTGTCTTACAAAAATTACAATCTTTTCTTTGCTGGGAAACTCCTCTCTTACTGGAACATAGTTTTCCAGAGAAAAGTCTGTCAAAAGGGCAGTACCATGTTCGATTGAGGTTTGATTCCTCTGTGTGGAGTGCACCTTCTGTTAACTGGGCTTTCTCCTGGTGCAGACGCACTGGCTGGGTTAACTGGTGCTGTGCATGTGTGTTCATCCTGCAATAGACTGGCGTCTGCCAGGGCTCTGTCCTGCCTTGTGCTGACCCTCAGCTGCAGTAGGGTTCTATCCAGGCTCTCTGACAGTGGGAAGGACATGCCAATAAGTCCCTCCCATTAGTCTCGTATTTTCAGGGGGTTGTCAACTTAAAGGAAAAGTGGATTACGGCCATTAATGTTAAAGGTTTCATATAAAGCTTTCAATATAACATTAAATACATTTACTTACTTGCCAGGATCCCCAAATCATTTAATATAATTCAGTTGTTTTCCAGGAGTCTGAGCAATTCTGAATGACTTATAAATGTAAACATGTGCCTGTCATTTTAGAGGCAAGCACGGCTCTTTCTTCCAGGATAGAATGTGTCATAGAATGTGACCTTCTGACCTCAAGCGCAGATGCAGCCCATTTAATTATACAGCTGTTTCGGGAAAAATAGACATGTTCGCTTCAGAAAACAAGCAGCAGTATTAGAGTGCTGATCTGTGCATATCACTGGATGGCCTGCATTAAGGAGGCTTTTGCTTTCTTTTAATAAGTGTACTAGAGGGTGGAATAGTTGGTCACGTCAAGGATCAAGGTAACATCCTTTGATGCACTTTGTAATTTGAGGAAGTTTCCCATCTGAAATGATGGGGAAATCTGTACATTTAATAATTATTTAATATGGCTCTCCAAAACTGCATTTTAATGGGGGTTTGGAAACCCAAAGAAATAAAGCATTGAATATCAGATTAGTAGGTTTATATCAGCCTTTTAAGTGACTTTATCCTGAAAAATGATTTGCATTAGTGTCTGATATAATAAATCACTCAGGTTCTCTGCTTTTTGAAGATCTCTTGCAACTCTGAGTCGAATGACACGGAAAGGCCAATTTGTGGCACTCTTGAGGTCCCTAAAGGGACAAAAACACAAAGACACAGACACGTCCAGAAGACAGAGAGGGAGGTATCTCTGCTGATTTGCAGGGTTATTTGCATATTTAACAATTGGAAAAATAAGGATAGGCTTTCCTACCGCACTCCTGTTGTTCTTTTTTTTGTGGAGAATATCCGGCATCAGTAGTGCTGGTCATAGGTTTTATTAATTTTCACCATTGACGAAATAATCAGATTAAATAGAAGGGCTCTGCAGAGTGAAAAAGAATGGCCTTTTTAAGAGCAGTACAGCATTTATATAGAGCTTCACAGGTCTGGACATAAAACTTTATTGTTGCAGGAAAGGACAAATAAATAAATTCCTCCATTTCAGAGCACCAAGTGCGAAAAGATTCTTTCTACAGTGTTTCGAAGCCAGATGCTTGTGGTAACTAACTGGTGCCGATTGTTCTGATAGCAGCAGTAGGCAGACCATTCACAGGGGATTCCAGGGGAGACGAATTGGAATTGAAAGCAGCCCGAAAACCCGTTTCATTAAGCACAAGGGTAGGCATTAGCAGATACTATAGTCACCGGCATGAGTTAGCCAGGAATTCAATAAGTGATTCATAAAATCTTATAAATACCATTAAAGTCTTCTGAAAAGGGGATTGTTATAATTGCTTTATAGATGTTAAATCAATTGTGAAATCCCTAAAACCATTTTCTAGTTTGTTTTTTCAAATGTCTGTTTTTTGATGACTTACCTCAATGTGCTTTGATCATTTTTTTTACGAAGCTTGTTAAATGTGAAAGAATTCTATCAAATGACCAATTTAAAACTGGAAAAGTGGTTTCATTTTTTCCACTGCTGGACTGAAAAGGGTTGAAGTCTTTATGGGGAGGGTTTATTTTAACTAGCAGGGCTTCACAATGTTCTCTTTAAGGTAGCAAATGACGACTTACGAAAAAAGTCACTGCATCCACCTGCAGCTCAATTTAATTAAAACCAAAGTTAGATGAGGGCAATGTTGGATACCTTTACTTCACTGGTTATTTGCTGTAACTATAGATACAGCCTTGGCATATATATTTATAGTACAAAGTCACATGTACCAAAATGAGCTTTATGGCAAACAAGCTGAGCAGAAGATCTAGCCTTAACTCTGCAGTGAAACCCTCAGAGCTTGTTCATCTTAATATAAAGGAAACTCAAATTCTTCTTTTGGAAAATAACTGAATTTCAAGAATGATATAAATAAAAATGATTATATTTATGCTAAATTGTCAACTGTTAAAGCCAAAGAAAATAAAGCAATCTTTGATATATGATTTTCTCATTTTAATAGATTTTGTTAAATAATCTCCATCATGTTTTACTTGTGAATTTAATTTAATGTAACTGTGATGCTGCATTACTTTTCTTACGATGTATTTACACGTCAATAAAATGCATCAAAACTCAAACCATCTGCCAATCACAGGCTACAGATTCAGTCAGTATTTGTTGGCTGCTTTCCACTGATGCAAGAAGCCTCTAGCAAGCAAAAAGCTGCTATCATTTTCCTGGTGTTTATTTTAAACCTGGCACTTCAGTCAAAGTATTTTTTCCCAGGCCCAGAATTTGCTTACAAATGAAAATTTCATTTCATTGAAAGAGACACTGACGAATATTTTTCAAATAGAGGCTAGATTGAGCTATTGAGTAACATTCATAAGATGGAAAAGGTTCCAAATATTGGACAGGAGAGGCTGTCAATCAAAGCTTCGTTGCTTGCAATGGCAATTTCCGAAGGCGGAGGGAAGCTCATAGATAGACAGATAGATAGATACTTCATTCATTCAAGGGAAATTGCAGTGCAACAGCAGTCTAGCACAGTCAACACAGCACAGTGTGACAAAATGATACAATAATACATGACACCATCAAGGCACCATCACATGGTGTGTTTTCTCAGCATTAATTTGCTGTAATTGAAAATGTTATAGGGTTAGCCATAAAAGGCTACATTCACAAAGGGGTACATATTCCAGCCAAGGAGAGGTGGGTTCTCAAATCACAGGAACCGACAAGGCTAAGCAGTCCCGACAGGCTAACATACAGGGAAGATGGATTTTATAAGTCTGCCTCACTCATGTCCAGCTCACATTTTCACCTTCTTGTCCTTCAAACCGTTTTTTTTTTTTATTTCTAATAATTATAAGCCATGAACACTGCATTTGCTTAATGAAGAGTCAAAGATCCCTGATTTTCTATACAGTACATGGACATGTGGTAGGTGCATATGTCATTTTTAACATATTGAAGGACCTTTTAACTTCAATGCAGTGCTTTACAAACTGTACAATTGTTTGTGTCCACAGAGCTATAAGCCTGTTTTTATTTCAGATTCACGGTCCTGTCTCCACACCCTCCTTCCGGGCTCCCAGCCCCATCTTCGATGGCACTCAGCAGGACTTCTCAAGTGCCTACCCGGGGGCAACAGAATCTGGGCTCTCCCCAGAAGCCCTATGGGACAATGGCCAACCACCCTGTCCAAGCCCACAGCATCCATGTTCAAGGTTCGTATCTCATTGTTTGTCTGCTGTCAGAGGGCATTGCTTAAAGAATGTGGCTTCACAGTTCTGTCTTACATGTTTGCTAGGTTTGAGTTGCCAACACTTTAAGCACCTCATAAATCTTTCAAAACAAAATTTCAGAGCTTTGTGTGACTGGAATTCAATTACAAGCTTCTGTACATTAACCAGGCTGGTTAAACATTATTTGAGATAACATTACTGCAGACTGACAATGATTATAATTCAGAACAAATTTTCAGAACAATGCCAATTCTTTGGCAAGGTTCCCTCTTTTTTTTTAATTATTACAGCCTTTATTAAGTTTGTAGCAGCTGTCTGAACAGATTTATAATCGGCAGCACCAAATGGGGGGGCATAATGAAAAGATAAGAGGTGATTCTAAATTTTGACAAATCATTATACAAGTTGTGAAAAGTCTGTTTGCTCTTTAATTTATTTAATCTATAAATTGATTAATTCATTTTTAACAAAGTTGAAAACTATAGGTGGGCGGATTCTATTGAGGGGCCTGAGTGCTTTGACATCCAAATGGAGATCATGGAGATCATGCACCCCCTTGTATGCTGCTATTTGTGGAATTCACACTCAGATTTTCCTTCTTTTTGGGAAACAAATTGAAGTACTAAAAATTGTAGAAAAGGCTTTGCTACATCAGAGCCTTCTTATTTAGGCCCCTTAAGTGGAAACTGAATATGAGAATTTCATCATTAAGTGGCATCTGTGTTCTCTTACCCAGCAATTTCCATGTATGTAGTTGAGTGCCACATGTAGATTTCTGGGTTTTGTCAGCACTGTGCTTTACCTGCCTTCGTTTGCACACAGGCTAGGATGAGCAAATGTTGTATTTCTTCCCTGAATAGAGTAGCCACTCTCAATGAATTGAGCTTATTTACTGTATTAACATGAGAACTGTTGTAATGTGAGGCAATGCTAGAGTAAATAGATGGAGCTGTCAAGAAACAGGTTTTGGGTGAATACACCAGGCCTTGTGAGATGCAAATAACCAAGTTTTGAAGCTTAAAGTACAGAATAGTAGCTGTTCATCCTGTCCAAGGTGGACCAATCTCCCATTCACCGGTTCAGTTCTGCAGCTCTGCTTGCCTCCAGGATGTAATGGGAGCTGGTCCAGGCTCCCTTGAAGTGTAGTTCTGGACTCTATGCAGACAGTATAATCCGGACGTAGGTGGAAAAGGACGACGGGGTGGAGACGTCGAGGATCAGGAGGGGTTGACAGATGGGGGCGATGGTGAACTGGTGCTCGGGGGGCGTAGCCAAGGCGTACAAGTCCAAGAAGTCCAGGGGGAAAAACCAGGGCGAAGTCTAGAAGTCCAAAACGGGGTGATCTAACTGAGACTGGACAACACAGAATTAAAAACCGGAATGGGATCCAGTACAGGGACAAGGAATAAAAAACAGGATGACGAGGCCAGGCGCTCTGAGCCCCGGACTCAGCTGGGTCAGGACACTGATAGGAGACCTATGCCCTCAAGCCGCAGACGTCGAGCGACTTGATGGTAGGCGGGCCTCCGGGCGTTCGTCTTCCAATGCAGAGCTAGAGTAACAAGAGCGCCAGGCTTAAATAAGGAGGGGCAGGATAAGGGGCAGGTGCATGTAATTAGCTAAATCTGAAAGAGCCAGAGCACCCTTAAGTGGAGGGATTACGATCATGACACAGAAATGATATAAAGTAAAACTTTCCTCTGTGAGTTATTCACTCTCAGATGTGGTATGTGGGCTAGACTGTTCTTAATAAGTAATTAAAGGCTATTAATGTTGACCTCTGGGATAAGGTCACACACAATGGTTTCAATATTTCCGTAGAGGGGAAGTGGTGAAAGTTATCAATGAGGCTCTCATATGCAGGCAGTGGAAATACATTTTCACGAATGCCAAATGTCATTCCATAAATGGCGATTGTTTTAATATTCTCTGATGAAAAGAAAACAAAACATTTACACAGGCACTTACCAGATCCATTATAACGATTTCATTTCACATTATATTTAATTTGCTCATTTTAGGGATTTTGTTTACCCTTACACAACATATCAGTTGATGTTTCCTAGAATTTACCAGCTTGAAACAACTGGACTATTTCCCTTTTCCTGAAATGAAAAGCCTGTTGTATGGTTTTCTAAGAGGTTTGCAGATGCATTTGCGACATTTCAGCAGCTAAGACCAGGCTGCATAGCTATCCTACGCATCTTAAGGACAGCAGGCAGAGGCCTTGCCAACCTGTCCAAGGAGCTGGCGGGCCCTGCCCTTTCCAGACATGCTGGGAAGAGTATTTTAACAACGTTTTCAGTTCAACAGAATAGAACAAAATAAAAATTATTTCCTTTTATGAGGTTTTCTTAGTTACTACAGCAACATGTACCTTTAGAAGATGGTGAGATGAGCTGGTCCAATTAAATGCAAATGCGAAGCTGTTCAGCTCAGTGCCTGCTTTTCCTAGTATATCCTGCCAACTGGTACTGTAGCTCTCCAGGAGAATGCCTGTCACATCAGTCGTAAGCTTTTCTGACATCAAAGGTGTGGATGCCGGATCGGTGCAGTTTCTAACCCTGTTTATTCTGTGATTCTCAAGTCTGTAGTTCAACATTCTGAGGAATATTGTCTGCTGAACCTGTGGAAAAAAATTAATGTCTTCACTTAAATCTGCATTGGTGCAAAATGGATGCAAGTACTTTTCCTTATATTTAGTTTTCCTTTGTGGAAACTAAATTATGGTGTTTTTTTAATGGCAATTTTAATGCTCAAAATGTTCTACAAATACTCAACAATAATACTTTTAATACTTAGTTTTCTGAATAATATCATTATGTTCCATGGTTAGTTTGATCCCTGCAAATAAAATCAAATAAATTGATTTTAAATAATACAAGAAAATGAATTTTCAACCCTTATACTGTATAGCCAGCATGTGTTTTTATTAACTGCAGGAAAACTGCACTGTGTAATTTCTGGTACTACTTACATCTTATTGCATAATGCTTATAAAATGTGGACACTTGTGGTCAAACATGCAGGTAACTGAAATATAACTACTATTTATATTTTTTTCTCAAAACAAAAAGATCCGACACTGTGTTTGTCGTCAGAGTCTCCTTCTGGCCCTTCATTCACATGGGCTCAGTGCTGGATCAGTGCATGTTGTCTATTGAGCTGTTAATGATCTCAAGGACCATGTTTGCCTGAGGTCAGAGGTCAGAGGTCACACAGCTGGTAGTGTGTTTGCCAGTGGACAAACAGCCACCACCTGCCCGTGCTGAGGGTGTTCCCTGCCGTCAGTCTGTTTTGAGAATGCCTACCATTGTGTTCCTAACAAATAAAAGTAGTATAACTTTCTAATTAGTAATATAGCAGCATTCATTTCTCTTAACATGCCTTGCAAAACTATGTATTGGTCTGCAATATTGCTTTTTAATATGTAATACTATGCTAAATCTGGGTATTTTACAAAAATAAAATAAAAAATGTATTCTGCTTTTGTAAGAAAAATATCGCAGCAAAATTAAATGAACACAGGGGGCAAACTATTTTTTCACACAATTATTCTTTAGCTGTTCTGTATGGGGGCTGTGAAAGAGGAATGGTGCAGGAACACAGCCTGCTTTCACCATGACTGACAGACAGCATCAATGGCAGAGGTCTCTTTCTGGACAAGCAGCATTTACCAGTCACAGTACTAATGAACTAATTCTCACAGTGGTAAATCTTCCTCTTAGACTCACACAGGAAGTGTATTGTGCCTAGTGTATTTTACTGAAGGTTTCGCAACAAATCTGAGCAGTGCACAGCCCTGACCCGACTGAAACCACATTAGGCACCAGTACTAATATGAGTTGTGTTTTGTTTGATTTTCTATTTCTCTGCCAGGCTTTTATGGGCAAATACAGACTCTGTATCCTCCACCATACAGTGAGTCACCAAGGACTTCCTGTCACATGACCAGCGTGCCAGCGTTTGAAGAGTGTGTAATTCCCACATCTTCTGCTCAGGCTGGGTTTGATATTTTACACAAGGCGATTTCAAGTTTTGCAGGTAACAGAAGCTCACATTTTCATGTACCTCATTTTGGACTGTGTTATAAAATGTAAAAAGGCCAAGAGTTTGCCCACAATGACGGACTTTCATCCTACAATAAATGTAAATAAAGTAAGTTGACTATGCCAGAAATATGGTAGCGTTCTTTAATTAGAAGGTATAATCATTTATTGCACATGCATTGGATAACTCTCATTTGACCATCATTTTCTATATAAACACAACTGCATGCTTTATGCACTTCCAGCCTGCACTCTAGTATAATTAATATGTGTGCTTTCTGAGAAGTGTGATTTCTTACTGCAGGAGATAATTAAATGAATTAAATAGTTCTTGCTTGCAGAGCTGTTAGTCAAGGACATAGATCAGTTGTTCTTGTATTAACTGATCAAACTTTATATAATTTCCTGCAATTGTAGTGTGTCCACGTTATTTATCCATCTAACAGTTATTACAGTGGACAGAAAGGGTTTTATAGATTTCCAAAGGTCAATATTTTCTGTGTATTTTGATAATACTATTATTACCATTGCCATATTATTCAAAGAAGCATACTAGCAGAGATCAGAGCCAGTGGTATAAGCAAAGTTGTGCTTCAAGGATCTTAAATGACATAAATGATGAGGTGTATAGGAAAGGTTTGCTTAAAATGATTTCTTTTTTAATTACAAATCACCATATTCCTTAAACTTGGTATGACTCTGTCAGTCATTTCTTTACAGATGCCAACTGGGATATTGTTGAGAAAAATCTTTTTATTTAATTTTGTCTGATTGTATTCTTACATTAAGAATAGAATGTAATGCATGTGTTCTATTATGAATTCACAGAAAATGTTTCCATCATGAAAAAAGAATGGTTCTTCTATGGTTTGTTTTACAGTGTATGATTTCCCATCGGCATCACAGGGATGTTTCGGAGAATCCATGAGGAACATTACTGAGGACTCAGGCTTTCTCCAGATAAATGCAGTGGATCGCTGTCCCAGCCAGCTCTCCTCAGTCTACACAGAAGGGTAGGAAAGGAAGATAAAGACACTCTCCACATTGAAACCATCCCCTTTCAGAGACAGAAGACAGAGTGTCCACAACAAAACAGAACCAAGGAGATTGCATTTTATAGAACGTCTGTATTGTTCATTTTCCGTTCAACACAAGCATTACAGACTGTCAAGACATATGATTTGCGAGCATATTTCAGTGATAAGTAGGTACAGTATGATTCAGTTTAATGCACTTTTGTTGTTTCTTATGCTTTCTGTGCCATTACTAAAAAGGGAATATACTGTAGTATCAATCTCATCTCCCCACTATAATAGTGAAGTCTCCTGTTGTGAAGGAGGAATATAGCACCACCTGCTGGTAGACTCAATACACTGATGACGAGGGGCCGAATTCTTTAGGAAAATGGTAATGTGCAGTATAGTTTCTTTCAAAACAAGGTCATTTGTGGATCATTCATTGTAAACGAGGATACGTGAACACGGTTTAACAATTATACAGTTAAGTGCCTTAATTTGAGAAAGGGTAAATTATTGTTAGAAACACATGGCTGTATTACTTTCTAAATATTTGTTTACATTCATGTTATTTTCAATCCAGGGTTAGTTGTATATTTTCGTTATTTCTTTTACAGTGTGTGCTTTCAGTCATCTCATCAAGTACTGTTATTGTGAAATTATACCTTCTGCTCACATGATTTTGTCGTAGGAATACAAGCACTTAAGTTGCCAAACAAAGCAAGAGTTAAATGATTCATTCTGCAGAACACAACAAAGGGTGTTACAGGTTATTTAATGATAAGAAAAGTACAGATCAGAAATATGGATTGTAAACCTCCTGAGAATATATTTTTGATAGCCTCTTAGATAAAGCAGTAGCTAAACCTCTTGACTGCTTGTTCATCTCTTAGGGTACTGAAAAAGATTTTGGAATTATCTATGTGGTTTGAATATTCTTTTTGTGTATCTAGTACATAAAATATAATATTTTTTGGCTATTGCTATATTCAAACATCTCATTCCTTTAAGAATACAAAAGCTTTCACTTCACTGTGGCAGTGGATCTACAGTATGGCACGTGTTCCACTGTTTGGTATCCTGAAGACTTGGTCTGAGTTGGGTATCATATTCTGAAACTGTGTTTCTGTCCTGGTGTAGCACTGCGCTGCTCTCCGGAATGTACCGTTATGTCTTTGGGGCGCTGGCCATGTCAGTTTCAAAATGAGATTTACAAACTGAATGATCTGAGTAAATCACATCCAAAACTGTTTATTTTCCTGTAAAGTAAAAATTAACAAGGACAACACTTGAGAGAAGAAGGTTAAATCTTTCAGCTCCTCTTTTTGTCACATGGAGTACTGTTTGACCTAATGATGGAAAAATATGATTTAATTTTTTAAAAAGTTAAGAACTGCTTGGAAAAGAGGAACAGTACATACTGGATGTTATATCTTACTAGATATACTGTAGTCCCTGCACGTTACATAGAAACATACAGTACACAGGATGACTTCCCTGGGTGATTATTGCACTAGGAGCTCAAAGAGCAGGAAGCTGGATCCCAGCTGACCGCAGCTCACTCACCCCACATGGCCAGCTCCCTCTCCGAAGAGCCCTTCATTCTCTTGGACTTACAGTATATGTATTTGTGTTTGTGTGTTGGAAGGGAAGTCCTTGGTGCTTTGAGTTGTATTCTGGTTTCTTTGCATTTCTTCCTGTGTTCAAAGCTTCTGAGGAGAGAGTGTTTCCCAGCTGTTTGAAGTTGTGAACCCAATCCTCATCATAACAGCACAGCAGAAGGAGTCTTTTCTCAAGTCTTTTCTAGCAAGCTTTGAAGACTAGGAGAAAAGAGAAGACACACACATGTAAAAGCTCACTGACACACACACTTTCATCCTAAATGTGAGACCAGCTATCCAATTCTGAAAATGTGCTTTCTTTCCCAAACGTGTGGTATGTTTTTTCAGTACAATTCAGTAAACTGGCACTCTATGCTATATTTATGAAAATGACCATGCATTTTAATGTTTTATAAGCACTTTTAAAAGATGAACCTGTTTTTACCTACCTTATTGAATGAATACTGTATATGGCAGATGTGTTTTCATGTTTTATACATTTAAATAGTGGTTCATTTTGTACTTCACTAACTTTCAAAATTAGACATGATATATTTAAATAAATTTGTACATATTGTGATTTTTACAGCTTTTTTGGTTTAAAAATAATCAGTAATGTGCCATTTTACATTTTTTGTTAAGAATGTTTTTTTATATATATACACAGATTGTAATGCACATGTAATTAAGACTAAACTGGAAACTGCAAAATATTTGTAAATCTCTGAATATTTTTAATATTTGAAAAAATATCTTCTTCCTTTTTTAAGATAATACCACTAAATGTTTTGTGACTTTTATATTGCAATATAGAGTTTTTGGTACTTTTTGCTTTTTCTTACTTTGTTGAATTCAAAATGGTGACTAATACTGGAGATTGATGTATTATATTACAACACCTGGATTCAGAAGTTTGTATCGATTTATAATAATGGGACTACCAGTAAATACATTTGTGAGACCAAATATTTGTGCTTGAATAACTAAAATGATCAAATAAAAATTATTTTATTTATTTAAATCAGAACCTTACAATGAAAATATGAATCACACTGGAAACACAAACTGGCCAAATTAGTTTGAACAGTTATTTATCATTTTTTTTCTCTTAGTTCTGAGGAGTTCTAAGTCAGAACACTGAATAAGATACCTCCTTCCTGGACCACGGTCCCCCCTCGCCTCTCCCATCTCCTCCCGGGACCACGGTCCCCCCTCGCCTCTCCCATCTCCCATCATGTGCACGCTGCCTCCATACCATGTATGGTAGTGGTAAGCTTATTTACAGTTGCCTGGGAAGTGGTAGATGAGATAGGCAGGTTAAAAACCATAAGATCAATATTTACGAACGACTGTAGGAAAAATTAATGATTTTTCATAAAGGCATGTAGGGTTTATCAGAAAAGGTCATGCAAAATTTGAAAAAAAATCTCATAGTAGTGACACAGCTTTTATACCAGTGCGCCAAGTTCACCTGACCCTTGTTAGCCTGATGGTCACTGTCTCTTGGGACGACACAAATGGTCGAATTGTTCATGGAGCATTTTATTAAAAAAAAAAGAATCTAAAATTTTTATTAAGCTAAATTTCGCATTCTCTGTTTCAAATATAGTCAATCAGTGCATTTGTTTTTAGAATACAATAAACAGAAATGTTTCACAACAGTGACACATCATCAGTTGTCCTCATAATTTGAATGTAACTGTCATGAAGCTTTAATCAGGACCCTATGCAGATGGTAGAATCTGGAAGGGAGTGAAACAGACACGGGGAGGAGACGACTAGGAACTGGGCTGGTAGACGAACAGGGGGGCCTGTCGATGGTGCACTGGTGCTCGGGGGGCAGCGTGATTCAGGCGAACAAGTCCAAAGGGAGTCCAAAAGGAAATCCAGGGTGAAAGCAAGAGTCCAGAACCGGGCAATTCATCCAAGACACACAAGACAAAAGTTAAAAAACGGAGAGAGATCCGGTATAGGGAACGGGGGTAAAAAAGGTTAACGGAGCCAGGCGCTCCAAGCCCAGGACCCAGATGGTCAAGACACCGTTGTGAAGCCGATGCCATCGGGTCTCTCAGGGATCTGCTGGTAGGCGGGGTTCAAGGTGTCCATCTTCCAAAGCTGAGCCCAGAATGGTAGGAGCGTCTGGCTTATAAAGGGAGGGGCTGGAATAGGAGTCAGGTGCACGAATTAAACTGGAGCCAGAGCCCCCTTAAGAGGAGGGACTTACGATTGTGACCGTACCTATTCAGTCAGTATACTCGTATGCAGTTCATACATGCAGTTACGTATTGTATGAGTGCACCTTTAAACACTACTGCAGTACTGGTGTCTCAAGCTAATCAAACAAGTCACTTGTACTGAGCACTGCAGTCAAGTCAAATTACATTCAAGCTGCAGTCCAGGATCACTTTGCGCTGTTCACACAGGCGGTGGGATCATCAGAGTGGTGAATGATATCTTCAGTCATGGCAGGAAGTGTTTCCAGATTGTAAGGGAAACTACCGAATGTACTTCTGGTTAATCTGTGATATTCTTTGTCATTTTTTTAGAATTACTTGTTAAATAATTGGTGATGTCAAATTTAAGATCAGCAATAATGCAGTGGTGCTGATGAAAAATAGGAAATAACTGGTGAAATGAATTCAAGACACTTTCAGAAGCGAATTTGTTGTAATGCCACTGGATGTATTGTGTTGCATTCTAATCAAGCAGCATGGGCTCATTGAAGAAGGAAAGTGACCAGGGGTAATTCCACTGATGTAGAACCTGTGAGAACAATGAAGCAGCTGGCCAGGCCCTGCTGGACTGAGGGAGGATGTGATTAATGTGGACTTGCTGAGTAACAGCCAATTATTAGACAAGCAAGAGGAGCAGAAGAGAAGGGGGAGGGCAGCACACCTGATAGATTAAACATTAATTATTAACCATATGGTTGACGATACTGAAGACAGATGCTGTGCTTAACATGGGCCTGGAACATTCCTAATCTATTTTTTTCTCTTCTTTCCAAATGGAAAGACGCCAACAGGGCAGCTCTGAAATTAAATCTTCCGCTGAGTGTGGGTGTTGGTAGTGTTGCGGATGATATTTTTTGCTTTTCAAAAAAGAATTCTGTTACACCAGCAATCACTTGTTACTGTATTTAATTAACCTTGTCGAACTCACACTATAAAAACATCAGGCTTTTCTTCGCTAGTCTGTGTACAGGCTGGTAGTCTGTACAGATTGAAAGATGAACAATCTTTAAACGTTCCTTGCTTTTCTTTCTGGGTTTTCATTTAGTCTGTTTTTACTTAAATGAAAATATAATGTAAGGACATCATTTTAAGACTACACAAGAAAAAGACAAATCAGAATTTTAGTGAAATTAAGAAATTAAGAAGCACAGTAAAAATCATTGATCTAAGAAAAAAACTAATTTCCCTAAAAAAAAAAAACTAATTTCCCTAACTGAAAGGACAATTATGGCAGATGTCAAGAATTGATCAGAACAGAAAAACTTTTGACAAAGATAAAACTCTTTTTATCTTTGATTCCCATTTACCTGGCTCTCCCACCTGGTACTTTATTCATGGGCGCCTTTTTTAATTTATTGACTCCTAAAGAGGCTCAGCAGAGTGAGCACAACTCTGAGCCAATCAAGTTCTATTCATTAATCCTGCAGCAGAACAGAGGTATGTCTAGCCCACTGGTTTTAGGAGTTCACAATACAATGAGTCTTATGTCTGAATTGCACTCTTCCCAAACACAATGTTTTACATTCTTAAATACAGTAGCTTGTGTACTTCTTATAGGTATTTTAACATTGTATTCATGCATAATTTACAGTGCCTTGCAAAACTGTCCAGATCCTTCCTATGGTTTCCTATGTGAAATTACAAAATTATGCATACAAGCTTTTTTTTAAAAAACATAACATTTTAATCAAAAATCTGACTGTTCAAATTGAAGACTTCAAAAACTAAAGAGAAAAAAAATGACATATGTTGATTACATAAGTATTCAGACCTATGTGTTTATTATTTGGTGGAAACACCTTTGACAGGAATTACAGCTGCTAATCTTTTTGGGTAAATCTCTTTCAACTTGGTGCAATTGGTGCCCATTTTCTCGATAGATTTGCTCAAGCTCACTGAAGTCCCTTGGCAATCTCTTATGAACGGCAGTTTTGTAGTTTTTCCACAGATTCTTAATAGGATTCATAATAGGTCCACCCTGACAAGCGTCTTCCCTGGTTGTGAGCAGCAGACCTTTAGCATGTCATGTTTGACAGGAGAGATGGTGTTGACTGAGTGATGCACTATGCTGGGTTTGAGTTACACTTTCCATTTAGACAACATACAGTAGCTCAAATCTTGTCTGACAACAAAACATTGTCAAAGAAATACATTAAAATACAAAGAAATATTAAGTGGCTTTGAAATGTTTCACCTGATCTTTAACATTTTATAACTTAATCCCAGTGCTATGAATACACCTTTTACTGCATGCTTGAAATTCGCCACTTGATTTGAGGTAGCATACAGTGTTAGGTGAGACATTATTAATGCATAGAGGGCGCTCTACTTTCCTCCTGCTCCTACTGTAGTTCCCTGTGATTATTCATGTCTTTCTGGTGTGTCTTGTTGTGTAGCCTATTTATTTCCTGCTTCTGCTCTGCTACTCGCTCAGCATTGACGTTCGGATGTCCTGAAATCCGCCTAGCACCAGGTTGCCCCACGCCCGCTACCTGAGGGCATAGGTTTCTATACGGCATTTCCTGAACAGCTGACCCGGGCTAACCCCCGTCTCGCTGCTACGCATAGGGTCTCTTACACTCTCCTGCCATTCTTCGGTTCGTCCCTTCCGATATCCGTGACAGAAAGGGGCCACTTTCACTTTTTGTGAAAGTACATAAGCTATAACTATAGTATTCTCATTCCAGAAAATGTTGCGTTTCTTTTTTCCATCAGTATATTATAGCCCAAAAGAAAATTTATTACATGGGGCACTTTATAAAATATCTGGTCAAAATGGTTATTTGCTTAAAAACTGTGTACTCGCTGACTCAGCCAGGAGATTGTGCCACTTGTGTCTACGGGTCAATGTTCAACTGTTGTTTCTGAAGACGTACAGTACACTGGGTTGACTAAGTCAACTGTGTGTCCTTGATGATTTTGAATACTTGGATACTAAAAAGGTTCGTACATTTCCACTGTCAGAATAGGGCATTGCTTTAAGCTCCGGAGTAGGTCTGATGGAATGAATTGATTCTAGAGCAGCAGATGTGGTAATCATACTTTAATTACTACATAACATTGCTTAATTTTGCTTGATTTATATTCTATACTTAAAACTATATATCGTAACATCTCTTTTGCTTTTTTTTATTGCCGAGTTTAGCAGATGAAATGATGTGTCAACATAAACACCTGCTTTTTCATAAGTAGCTCCTTCAAGTGCAGTTTACCTTATCATTGTAAAGTTTGTTTGCTGCCTGCAATTAACACTCTGCTCTTGTCTACATTAAATGTCATCTATTTGCACAATCTTTTTCTGTCTTAATCTTTCTGAATTTCACCATGTATGGTGATCCTCGGGTTTTGGCATCATATGCAAACATGACTAGTTTAGTAGCTATACCAGAATCTAGATCATTGATAAAAAATGGGATGAGCTGTGTTGATACTGCAGATCCCTGTGGAACTCCTCTAATAACACAATCCCAATTTGAGTATCCTCTCTTTTCTATAATCTTTGTTTATCAATCCAAAACCATGTTTTCTTTGGCTACATACCACCTGCAGTCTAAGAGTGATTCTTTAATTAGCTCCTTATCAAAAGCTTCATGAAAATATAAATATACCATATTGCATTCCTTGTTCCGTTACTGCTACTGCTTCTTCAAAGAACACTAATTAAAACCTGCCTTTTCTAAATCCATACTGACCATCCCCTAGAATCCTATTACCATACAGATGATTATCTAGTTTAGTCCCAATTATAATTTCAGATGAGCAAGTTTTATTAAAGTAACAAATAAAATTGCAATTTATAGTTTGCCTATGATAGTTTGATAATTGCTGACAATTCTCCAGGATTTTCACATGGTTACTTTTGTGTAATTTAATATACAAAACAACCTAAAACGTCAGACATTGGCGGGGGGTTAATATGCACACTGATGTATTCTGTATTAATAACTTTTTAAATCAAATTTTATTTTATTAATGTTCTGTATTAATAAATAAAAATGTACTTTGTCTTTCCTATTAGAACAAAAGTCATATGGGTTGAGTATCATTTTTCTCTTTACTTTGATTAGTTTGTTATGAGCAGAGAAACAACAGTGAGCAATGCCCTGTACTTTATAAAATGTATTTACTATTTTAAATAGTAGTGCAGGAATGTCACTTCTAGAAAAATGACTGGGAACAACAAAGACAGTCTACAAGGCACAGGGGGGTAAAGAACATAACCAACAATATTGTTTTATTCAGAAAGTGTGCAGCAGGTGGCAGCAAAAAATACTAGTCTACTTCTGAAAGTAATGGAAACAGAAACGCAGAGTACATCAGAGCTATCAGACTATCAGACCAGGTCCCATAAGTCTGGCGTATCACCTGTTGTTCCAGTGCAACCTCCAATCATTTCAAAATTGGTCTAATTAAATGCACAAATAACTGCTTCCCATGGGTTCTCTGAATGCCTTAGACACTATCCTTTCACTCAAGTGAAATAATCCAAAGTCGCCATGTTAGCAGCATTTAAAAATAAACTCTGTCACTTTATAACCTAAGACCTTTGGGTAAGAAAATTATTTATAAAGACCAAGTGTGGAGTGGACTCCCCAGCTCCTTGTTTATAACAGAGTTTTATTATCGCTAGAAGGTTTTGGTAAAAAAAAATCCATATACAGTATATATTCTGTATGATGTTTGACTTTTGGCTCTAATGGTGTTATACTAATAACACTGTTATTAATATAACAATATAAACTTTTTAAAAACAATAAAAAGTACAAAAAAAACATACAGGACAAACTGTAAGGCAATCGAGCAAAGGCCCCTAGTAATAAGGTGAGTTTTTAATTAATGTTTGAAACGAATCAAAGAATTTGTCTCTGTAAGAGTCAGAGGAAGGGCATTCCATAGCAATAGTGCAATGACAGAAAAAACAGAGCAACCAAAAAAAAAACCAGATTTAGTCCAGGTACAGTGAGCAAAGGACCAGCCTCAACCGACCGGAGCCTACAGGAGGGAGTGTGAATATGGTGGAGTTCAGAGATATACAGTACGATGAAGCCAGATTATTTGGATCCTTAAAAATTAGTAACAAGATCTTGTATTGAATGTGATATGATAGGCAACCAACGTAGAGATTTTGTAGAAGTGATATGCTGCCACGTTCTGGTGTGAACCGGAGGTCTAGCTGTAAAGTGTTGGACATATTGCAACATACCGAGAGGGAGCCCATAGACTAAAAAGTCGCAAAATTCAAACCTTGATGTTCTAAATGCATGAATCAGGCACTCAGCATCAGATATTGATAGAAATCGACTAATGTGGGCAACATTTCTAAGGTGTAAGAAGATGTCTTAATGAAACTGTTCATATGTGGCTCAAAAGACAGGAGAGGATCAAGTCTGACTCCCAGATTCCCAACTACGGCTGACGCCTGAATGGCACCATTCGTCCGCCATTACTCAGAAGCTCTCCAGTTTTTCCAGTTTGCATTTGCTGCCCACCAGTGACAATCATTGTATTTGGCTGATTTTGGGATGTCTCATAGCTTCACAACGTAGTACAAGACCAACTTCTCTATCCTCATTGCTGCTGAGCAGTGGGCCCTCAACTCATGAGTACTTTATGAATTCTCCAGTTCTCTGCGGCAGTGCCTCTCATGCTGTCCTACACAATAATGTGATGAAAGGATCTCAGTATGTTCAAAACTGCACTGCTGTAACTCTACGAGGACAAAAAAAATCCTGATGTCTTGACACAGGTGGGAACAACGCTGTATTAAATACTGCTGTAATACAACTTGCAGTTCTGCATGGGGCCTGTGGTTCTGCACTCCTGTGATCCTGTATGGATTATTGCAGTTTCTAATTCTGCCCGGCTTCTGTAGAGCTGAAAACAGCTACAGAGTGTCTACTGGGACAAATAGTATAACTGAAGTGCTCAATTAGCCTACTCAATTGAGAGCACAGATAGGAGATGCAGAGGCAGCTCAGGACCAAAATTTCAGTTCAGACGGCTCCAGCAAAACAGTTCTTGCTGTTTGACACTGAATGACAAAAACACCGAAAACAGATATGAAAACAGAAAGTGGAACCTCTTTTCAAAAAAGCAAGACCTCTGAAGCGGCTTACACTAAGCAGAGCAGCAAGAACTGAATACTTCTTGTCTAAGGACACACAGAGACAAGGCAGAATCTGTACTGTGACAAATTCTGTTGTTTTTTAGATTGTAATATCGAGTTGGTTATTCAGCTAGGACCTTAATTATTTTATTGCTTCTGCTATTTGTCAAGTAAATTGAACAATTTCAATTGGTTGTTCACAGTTGAACACACCAACTGTGGTAAACTTTTGCAGTAGAATAAGTGGAACTGCCATAAATTGAGTAGACTAATGTTACAGGCTAATCCTTTGTCTAATCCTAATCGTGTTTCAGTGTAATCTCCGTGAGAATTATCCTAGGATGAACCAAATAGTGTTGGAACTGACCAAAGATGTCCCTCAGCCCATCAGACTCGGTCTCACCCCTTTATTCACTGTCGCATCAGGTGAAGATCAAGAGCTTCACTGTGTGATTAGTGCCTGGATCGTTCTAATTATGCAGTAGATTATTTTAAACACGTCTGACAAAAATCATTCATTAAATTGTTTTAAGAGCTGTCCCACATTGAGTTGTTTCGTTATCATTTGATATTTACTGTCAGGTCCAAATTTAAAAGCACATCCAAAAGACAGTGGCGACTTGCTTCTTGTGCCACGGTTCTGATAAGCATCGCGTGTGTTTTTCAAAAAACTCCCTGAAAGTTAGCGCTTCTCGATTTTGGCAACATCATTGCCTGATGTGCAATTTAAAGTATTTACATAACATTTAAGTTATAGAGGTGCGGCTCGCTACTTCAATACTTTTCAGAGCAAAGAGCCCTTTCTTCCCATTAGGCATTTTGATTTATTTTGTTAATTAAACTATAATCACAAAGGCTTAAAAGCTCTTTAGGGTCAAAGGAAACCAGGAGCCTTCAGTTTCAGTCGTGACAATGCGCACACAGGGATTAAAGATGAAGTTTACAAAGCAATGTAGTATTAGTTGCACATTAAATCACGTTTTCATTTCTGGCGATCAGTTCACAGCCATAGAAGGCAGTCGCGATCTTCAGCGCTCTTCCCCGATTTAATATCCCGTATTCAAAGATTTACCTTAATATGAAATCCGATGCTAATAAAATGTTAAAATTATTTTTTTCAACCTTTTCCCAGGAAGGATGAATTGTACATTTTGTGCCGCATGGAAAAGAAATTATCTGTCACTGGACGTGAAAAAAATGATATCAGTTTTTATACTTGGGATTATTTTCATGGTAAATTACTGAAATCAATTACGATCACTTAGCGTTGAATAGTAGTATTAATCAACATTTCAAGGGAAGTAGAATATTTCCATGAAACTTTTACCCTTTTGATATTTTGTTGCGTTTTCTTCTGTAATTTGGAAAGTAGGATGGCAATGGAAACAAATACGGGACTGGTTTTGCGTTCAAATGTTTTTTTTTCAGACAGGATCACGTTAACGCGTTTTACTTTAAAGGGCTTTCCAGTTCGTACAGTCTGCCTTGACGCTGTAAAACCTTGTTACTGAGTCCCTCTCCCGCAATGTACGAAGCCCAGCCAACATGGCTCTGAACAACGGGAGAACACAACCACGGCTAGAAAGGGGAAAGAGCTCCTCTCCTTTCTCTGTCTTCTCTACCAATCTTCAAGCCACACAGAGGAAGTCCCGCCCCAGCACAGGGCCAGTGAGTATGCACCGGGGAGCACTCTCGATGCGTAGCTCGTGAGAACATCGCCCTCTGTGTCGTGGATGACCGTATATAGGACGGTCACTGTGCATTTATCTTTTCTCCTTTAAAAATCATCACAGAAGTACAACCTTTTCAGTTTTCTTTAAAAACGATAGGATTGGTTAAGATCGCACAGTTATGAACTGTTTTTTTTTCTCCAAACTTTACATGGTGACGTCATACTTGTGCGTGTCTCTACGTCTTATCGGGGGATTTAGTACTGATCGGGGGTATTACGTGCTGTTGAATGTGTATTGCTAAAGCCGAAGTATTCAGAAGAGACAGGCTGCATACTGCACTGCGGGAGACAACATTTTTATTTCGGCGTTGAGTAGAGAAACGTTATTTCCTAAAAGTGTTATACGGATACACAAGTATTCTTTAATCTTTATACTTTACTGCCCACAGCAGGTGGCTATTCTAGGCTTTGAAATAAATGGGTCATGCTGTTGTTGAATCGACTGGACAGATACAAACACATCTCCGAAACGCTGTTTTGTTATTCTGCAGTGTCTATATGTGTATGCACTTAACTGTTGTGTTTTCTTCTTTGTATAATAATCAAAAACTTAACCTAAAGATAACCACCACTCAGAGAAAACCCAAACGTCATTGGTCTCAGCCGCATCACATCCGGCTTTTGAGTTGCCTCCTCCTCTTCCTGCTAGTCAGGTTAGGTTGTACCCCTCTCCCGGTGAGTTTTATAGCAACTGTTGCCCAGTGAAGCAGCGCCATAGTCACCGTAGTCCTGGCGACTGTTACCCACCAACAACAACAACTCCTCTCTCCATCACTACCACCACCATCCTCATCATCATCTCCCACAACAACCAACACAATAGTCCACAGCCAAGGTGAATATTATTATTCTACATCTATCTGCTCTTCTCTTACACTCTGCTGATCTGTGCCTCGGTCTCTCTCGTCGCTCTTCTGTGTAACTGATAGAATATCTCCTCTCTCCCTGAATTGTCTCTGCAAATGGATCATTACAGCAGGTGTCTGGGCAGTTTCATTTTTAATGGCTTTTGTGCTGTCACGTTCATTTCTCGCTTTCTCTGGCTATCGCTCCGACATTTCCTTCCCTTTATTTCCTCTCATTTTTATTGTTTGGTTCGCCTCTTTTGTTTTAGCTATCAGGACGAAAGCTGGCATGTTAACGTCCGAATTGCATATACATATAAAAATCACGCAAGTAACGGGAACGAAGCTCTTTTTCTCCACCAGAGATGGGGAAAGTAGTTAATTATATGCCGTTAACTGAAGATACGGTCTTCATAACACAGATTTGAAGGCATACTTTTTTTTTTAACGAAATGGCTAGCACAGCCTCTCAGCTGGTGCTGCTCCTGTCTGACCTTTTTATCGAGTTTGGATAGGAGAATCCGATTCTTATCTGTTCCTACATTTTCGCCGTGTGCATCTGGGTTTGTAGTGAAATGAAATTGTCAACGAGGATGCTGTCGTGTGGAGAGCGTGAATAATCCCACCGCCGGAGATTGTCTTGAACCATTTGAGTAATAATCAGGATGTTCATCGTAATATTCTTGCCGATTTCGTTTTTCTTTTCTTTTTTTTAAATGTTTTGAGCGCATACCGTCCTGTGCAGACGGCGTTTCGGCGGCCCGTTGACACAAGTAACGCTTAATTTGGCTAAACGGGTAAAGGGCTTTCTCGCTGCGTGCGCCGCTCAGTCGTGTGACACAATATAGGCTCTGCTACATGATGTCGGAGTGAGAGGGGGTGCAGAAAATTGCCCAATCCCAAATCAATTTGCAGTGTTTTATCCAATTGTTGTTGTTTTTTTTCTCTTAACGGGTTTTGGACAAAAGAGCTAACACAAAATCTGCTTCTTGGATGGCAAATCGGAGAGGGTTTGAGCTCAACTTCTTTGTAGTGCCTGCAAAGACTTGATCGAGGACCTCGTCACCCACTCCAAATATTTCCCCGTAATATTCCTCAGAAGACCGAGAATTAGAACAGGTTATCACCTAGAATGCAGCGGATAGGCTTTCAATACAAAGGAACCGACACGGCTTTCGGTTTTTAAGGCAAGGAATGAACGATTGATTCAATCTCAGATGTGTTCCCATTATGAAATCTGGTTCTTGCATCTTGAAACGCGCGGCGTGTTTTTGGTGATGATGTCCGGGCGGCTCGACTGAAGAGTCAAACCTGTTGGCATCAGAACATGACATTTTAAAAGTTGTGGGCAACACTCACATTACCAGATTGATTTTTCCCCCCACTTTTTCTGGGGGCTGTTTATTCCTCTAAAGCAGTCAGGGCTTAGGAATTGTAAAATGTTAGGCTGTTTCTAATTCAGGTTTTCTGATTGCCCTATTTCATACACGGTGGCTTTATGGTGTTTGTCAGAACACATCATGTGTTGAGGTCTCATTTATTGAACTTGTCTCAAGTGATTTGTTTTCCACATTCTTATCAATGCATCTGGCATGATGGCATGATGGTAATTCAGAATTCAAAGCCCAGTTTGCTGTTTCTTTTGTGTTTTGAGTTTTATAAAGTGCTTTCCAGTCGCTTCCCAGTTGGGATCGGACAAGGGACTCAAACTGTAGCTGATCTCAGATCCCAGCTGGGCTGTGAAGCTGATCAACACTAAACTTTGTGCATGCTTTTTAATATTTGTGGCTGTGTGTTCATTTTAATGTTGGGTCAAGTGCCCACATGTCATTTAAAGTCACCGGTAAATTTAGTTGATCTGTAATCCACCCCCTTTTGCATTTTGCCGGGATGTTCCAACAGTTGCTTTTTGTGGTGATGTAAGTGACTGCCACGCTATACAGTACAGAAGCCATAGGCAGCCGCTGCCCGAGTGTGGGCCTGTGGCGTTCGGAGGTGCCGAGTATCCTGTCGGGAAGCTGCAGCCCAGCCAGCACCCGGCTCTGAGGGTTTCCCCTTTTCCGTGAGGCTGTGAAGGCGAGTTTTCACTGGTGGGCCCGGTTGGGAAGTGGTTGACTTTCTGTGTGTTTAACCTGCGATCACAGGTGGGGCGGGCGAGTCTGAAACACCCTCCTCGTCCTGGCTGGGCTGGATTAGCTCCTGGCCCACTTGCGGCGCTGAACTCCAGAGCGACTCTGGCCCTCATAGGGATTATTTTGAGCTGCAGTGTATCCTCCTAATAGTCTCCACATGGGAAGTAGGAAACCCGTGGGGTCAGTGTTTTGTCAGTCTGATGGCGGAGGTCTCAAATCAGATTGTGGTTGGCCTTGTGTCCTCTGGTTTCTGTCGGTTACCTAGTTAGTCTGATGATTTTATCAACTGTGAAATTCTTAATATTTCTAACCTGCTATGAATAAGATGTTTTATAGGCAACTAAAGTTTTACTCAAGTGCATTTGTGAGTAAATACATTTAAAGGACCTTGAGAAAAATCCTGTAATTATAATGAGGAAATAATTGGGTTACTTGTTTATTGACTGCTCAGTATGAGACCTCTAGTCTAATATATAATGTAAAACGCAAAGGAGAGCAGCATCTGGCTCCGGAGAATGTTAAGTGAGGTTTTTATACGCTCCCCACCACAGCCTAAAACAAAACCACCTTGGTAGATAACTGAGCAACATTTACTCATCTGGAAGATGCAGAGTCATCTTTTAGTTTTAGTCAAAAACAGGCTCGCGTTCTTTCTGAAGAAGCCCTTTTTACTAAAAAAAAGTATGCTTTTGTTTGCATTGCAGCAAGAATTCGTGTTTACTGCCTTTCTAATTATTGAATAAACAGTTGTATCAAAATTACAATAAGGTAAGATTCAGTTACTATTACTGAATCGATTTATTAAGAGAAAGTAATGTCACCGGTGTGCATTATATCACTTGGCCTGGGTCCCAGAGAGGCGCAGGGGCTTCCCCTTGCTGCTCTCAGCTCTGTAACTGTATTGAGCCATGATGGTTGTCTTCCTCGGCTGGGAGTAATGTGATCTCTTGCCATTGATTGAAGATGGCTATAAAACACGCAGGACCAAGGCAGGAGGCTTTTGCATCACTTGAGCTCGCATGGGAGCTCTGCTGTAAAACTGAAACATCCTTCCTAAATCAGGGGTGCAAATCAAGGTTGATGTATTAGAGTATGTTGCCTTTTTATCTTCTAAAATATTGCATGTACAGGCAAGTTTTTAAAAGGCTGAGTTTATCGTGTAATGCCATGTCACTGGGTCTTACAAGCGAGGGGGAAATAGATGAGTTTGTACAGCGCTCTCTGAGCATGTGTGAGGTCCCAGGACTGAGGCCTGCATTCTCCAAGGGTTCCTCTTTTACTACGGCGAAATGAATTTCAAACTGAGTACTTGAGGCACTTTACACAAAGTGTTGTTGGTGTTTGCAGCAAGCTGCCCAGCCATGCTGCCCGATTTCTTAATTTTCGGCATAGGACAATAGACACAATCTAGCACAATCTAGGTCCTCTGGAATTCTGTATCTCCCGCTATGTGCTAGTGAGGCAACATTGAAGACATTGACCTACACCAATACTGTGCTAAAGCCTCTCAAGATAATGTAGGAACTTTTACAACAAAAGCCAATATAATTTACCTTTACAGTATACAGTACCAGACACGTTTAAAGACACAATGTAATGCTGTCATTCTTATTATTGTTCGGTGTGTCACAGTCTTCTTTATGGACATAATTAAATGGAACAACACAAATTAATGTCAGAGATATTAATATAATTAATGAAGAGTGCTGCCAAAATAGAAATGTAGTGCTGAGATTTATAGAAAACGTGATCTAGTACAACAACGATTTAGATGACATGTAGAGTTATAATTCATGCATCTGCCCTTCACTCTGCCCCTGTTGTTTTGTGTGCTAACAAAAAATAAATTACCACAAGTGACTTCAGTTCTGGTGCTCAAGCTGGGGAGAGTCTCTGTACTAATGTTGGTCCTGTAATGACAAGGTCTGCTGAATGACTCTAGTGTTTCTTTGAGGCAAGCAAAGTCACAGTTTTCCATTTGAATAATAATAGTTCTGTATTATTGTATTTTCCTCATGGCTGAATGTACAGCTCACGGGTTCTTTTATAATGCTAACATAAGACTTAATTTATCTGCGGTGTTCTGCTGACAGAAGACTATTTCAAAAGGGATGAGATCAGTAAGGCACATAAGCAAACCATGCACAGAATTTCCAGGGAGTTTATTTGCAGGCCGACTTGGTCTGGATTAAATTCAAAGTCCCCGCTGCCTGATCGCAGCTCATTGTTTGCTGGGGCCTCTGTGCTTCAGTGCAATGGAGACCCTTCATCAACTATGGGACTCGTAGGCCGAACTAGTGCTCAGTTTTGTCCAGGCAGTGCTTTCCTCTCTTTGTCATGTTGTTTAGATCTGCATGCAAAAGTAATTTGTTTGACTTTGGCATTTCTCAAGCACAGTAACAGTGAATAATAGACAATTACGTTTACATTTATTTGTACACATGTACTACCAATTAGTTATGGCTGACAAGTTTGTCTTAATTCTGGCATTAGTTTCCTTCTGTGTACTAATACTGTGACTGAATGTTAACCTCTACTTCAAGTACTGCAGTTCTTTTCTAGGTTTAAAATGAGAACAGTGTGTTTTATTCATAAAGTCAGTGAATGAAATCTCAGTTTGTCTGTGCTGCAAGCGGGGATTTTTTTTTCAGTTAACTGTACATCAGTACAGTTTGTTCTAAATAGAACAAATCAATAGAGAGAATGGCTGTTGAGTGCTGAGTGTGTTCTACCTTTAGTGTTCAGTCTCAGAAGCACAAATCATATACTAAAGCACAGTAACTAGCAGATTGTCCGACCTTACATCTTATAAACCATAGTACTGAATATCAAATTCAGTACTATCAGATTGTGCCTGA